GCCTTCAAGAGATAACAGCCACTTCCTTCCTTTTAGCAGACATCACTGCCTGCTTCTATCCTCTTCCACTGAAAATAACTTAGTATGGTCACCTCCCTTTCTCATCATTACCAACCTCAAGGAAACACGCTCCAGTTAGGGTGAACTCCCCAACCACACCAAGTGCTTGTACAATGTTCTACCAGTTATGTCTCTAGAAACAAAGATGTTCAGTGGCCTCCTTGACAAAATATAAACTGTATTTCTAACCTTCACTGAAGCTACCACCCTGTCTTTGTCCACCAAAAGGAAATTTCTTTCAGTCTACTTCCCTTCACTTGAGACTCACGATTTCTGACCCAACCAACTCTACCAAAACAGCTCTCCCAATGATCACCAATGGTTTTCCTAATTACTAAATCTAAACACTCTTTTTGTAGTTCTTAATTTTTTTTTTGGAGGGGGGTGGATACCAGGCATCAATCCCAGAGGCACTTAACCACTGAGCCACATCTCCAGCATACTCCTTTTTTTCTTTTATTGACAGGGTCTCACTAAGTTGCTGATGCTGGCTTTGAACTTGTGATCCTCCTGCCTCAGCCTCCCTAGTCACTGGAATTACAGATATGCACCACCATACCCTGTGTGGTTCCCAATTCTTAATATTATTTCAGTTCTCTGCTCAACTACTGACTTTACTACCTTTACAAAGGTTTGTTTTCGATTATATGTGCAATCTAGAATTTTGTAATTTTTCTTTCTCTACCTCTCACAGGCTCATTTTCCTGCCACCAAAACAAATATACCATATTCAAATTTATTCACCTTCCATCGTGTGTTCCTCAGTGATATAATCATCAGTACACAGGACACAAAAAGCATTTCTGACAGGGGTTTCTGTGTGTGTTTGTGGTACTGGAATTGAACACAGGTGTACTCTATCACTGAGCAACACCCCCAACATGTTGCCAAGGCTAACCTGAAACTTTACAACCTCCTGCCTCAGTCTTTGAGTAGCTGAAATTACAGGTGTGTTCCATCACACTCAGCTTTTTTAAAGTAACTCTTAAAAGTTAATTTACATATAACTTACACTCTTTATCCTGTAACTTTTCCCAAGGCTTTGCAATGTGTTAGCAATAGTAAAAATATACTAAATTAAATTTATTCATTCATTTCTTTTCATTCATTAATCTATTCAACAAACATCTATTTAAAAGCATTCAGTTGGCTAATAGAATAATCAAGGGATAAAGAATGAAATAAAATAAGGGAGGTATACATCTGAACAGAGAGTCTTATAGGCCAATGTAAGAAGTTTGGGTTTTGTTTTAAAGGTGACAGGAGGTCTTAGTAGGTTATTTTCCCAAGTTCCCTCATAGCCAGCAAGTTACATAACACAAACATACCCCTCACCAAAACCCAAGCTCTTAACCACTCCTTTTAACTGCTTTCCAAAAATGCAGCTAAGGCCATTCCACAGGAAAACTATACCCACAATTCTGAAGTTAATAATGTCGTCTTCAGATGCAGGGGTCAGCAAACTATGGCCCATGAGCCAAGTCCAGCCCACCTCCTTGCCTTTATGAAGAACTTTACGGGAAAAGCCAGCCATAAGCATTTGTTCACATATTGTCTAAGGCTACTTTCACACTCTCATGCAGAATTAAGTTGCTGTGACAGAGATAACCTACAAAACTTAAAACATTTACTTTATAGAAAGTGTAGGTCAATCCTTGCTCTATCCAGCTGTTTTTAGGTTCATTTTCTAGAAATTGGGGACAGCAATAACTCACATATTTACAGGGAGGTTAAGGAAGAGAGTATATCTGGGAAACTCTCATGACAGCCGGTACTTCAAAATGTAAGCTGCAGTCTAATAAATGCTCTGCACTCCAGCATTTTTCTATGAAAAAATAATCTTGTCCCTGCTCTATCTCACCATTGTGTCACTTCTTTCTTGGAGGCATTTTGCTCCCCCAGAACACACACCACCTCCCAATCCTGACCTAGAAGAAGTAGGGTGTTTCCTATTATAATCATCCTCAAAGTCTGTTCCACAGTGTGCACATTTCTGATATCAGCCATTCTCCTTTCAGCCCAGCTTGCATCTCTGAAATCATGTTGAATGTCAAGATCTTCTGCTGCCCATTTGTGGAGACATATTCATTCAACTTACACAATACCTTATAAGCCATTCGCTCTTTTGCACTTCAACCGTTGAATCATATTTCCAGTCCCATTACTTCTCTCCATATAATTCCATTTAATTTCCCATATCAACATTTATTTCTTAAAGATATTAGACATGACAAAATACTTCTTAAACAACAACAAAACACTCCTTTCAAACTATTCAACATCCTATCATCACCCAATGATACATCCTCAGCTCTGCCGTGAAGTTCTTCCACAATATGATTCCAATCTACACCTCCAAACAGACCTTCCACTAAATTTCCTGAGCCCTTCCCATGCTTCTCTAGTATATACCGTATTGTATGTAATTAGACATGCAGTAACACTAATGTTAGGTAGTTATAATGCATTAAGCACTGAAAATAATAAGAAGAAACACTTAATTCTGTCCAGTCTTAAGAAAGAGATAAGAGTTCAAACGTACACAATCTTGCAAGGATTCAATGCAGTAATAAAAATAACATAATACCCTTTTGGTCTTCTGGTGAGAAAAAAAATCATAATATTGCAAATTATTCATTCCTGGTTACAAAGTTTTATACGACCAGTATAATCAACATAATTAGCAAAATAAATATTTGTTACTTTTAAATAGGCCTGATTGCTAACAGTATTCTAACAAGGCAAAAGCAGGATGTTTTCTATAGGGTTTCCCAATAAAGTCTTTACTTTCCACTGAAAAAAACACATAAAAAATAAGATCCAATATCACAGAGTAAATTTTTCTAGGGCTCTTGGTGATGATTTGTTTGTTTGTTTGTTTTTAAATTGGGTGGGTTTTTTCTCCTGAGGTTAGAAAGCCATCCAGAGGACAGCTCTTTAAATATTCCCCTCAGAGGGAGTCTCAAACTCAACATGAGAAAATAGTTAAAGAAATCCCTAATGGTCCAGTCAACATACATTTTTCATAAAGTGATTATCCTCCTGCAGCCTCAGCTTCCTAAGCCTTTTCCCCCTTCCATAATTGTTTTCCTGGTAGGCCAGGCAACAATTATCACTGCTACAAAACTGAGGAGATTCACAAGCAATATATTTTACAATACATAAGTGTAATGTCTCTGATATCTGGTGCTTTTATCACTAATTGCACTATAAAATGCGCTATTAAAACAGGGACAAACAAGATTGTAAAAATCACATAATGGACCATGACCACTTACAAAAGGCATTCATGAATGTTACTGTACCACTCTCTTTTCTTTAACTTTCCAGTTATACAATTATTTTTCTGAATTTTTATTTCTAGGAACACCATCAGGAAAAAGAATATATTTTGGAACTTCCTAACATACACACATGCTCTTGAATACATTGTTTTATACATTTGCTCAAAATTAAAATCATATAGCATGCCAGACAATATGCTACAACCCCTGAGTTCCTAGGGACAGATATGTAGTTCCTTGAAAGAAATGAGGGGCACAACAAATGCATTTAACCTGTGATATCTCCTCAAACTCTAGAGCACAGAGCTGAAAGCATGAAGAACAAATAGATGGATTTCACAATCCGATCTATGAAATATAGAATACAACAGAACCAAAAAAACATTTATTTCCTGGGGAAGAAAAGAATGATCAAAGGGTGATATTACTGGAAGTTACTGGAGGATGCGGATCAGTGGAACTGTCCACTACTCCGTGTGCCATTAGAACTCACTAACTCGTGGCTAATGTCAAGTTTGCTGATGAGCCTTTCAACCCTTCACTATTGACTCACTTGTCTAACCATTTAAAAAATGAGAATCATGAATAAGATAGAATTAGCTGGGTGTGATGGCACATGCCTGTAATCCCAGCGGCTCAGAAGGCTGAAGCAGGAGGACCACGAAATCAAAGCCAGCCTCAGCAACAGCAAGGTGCTAAACAACTCAGTGAGACCCTGTCTCTAAATAAAACACAAAAATGGGATGGGGATGTGGCTCAGTGGTTAAGTGCCCCTGAGTTCAATCCCTGTTACCACCCACCACCCCCGGGGAAAAAAGAAAAAGTAACAATTAAACATATTTGTACCATCCATAAATAATTCCAATGAATATTTAGATGGGATTAGAATTTCAAGTGGTGATTCAGATGAAATACTGTAAGTTTCACTTATCCATTACTAGAGACAAACTCATTCTAATAATACCACAGAACACAAATCCCACAAACCAAATAGTGGCTAGTTTCTAGAAAGCTAAAGACAGGTGTGCAATTAATGTGCTGGGATTGCTTATTGTTTTTTAATAGGACAATCTTCTGCTAGGTGAAGTAGAAACTTCTGCTTTGTAAGTACTTAAAATGTCAGTTGGTAAAGTGTGATTGATCTTGGGTCTGAGGAAAAAAAAAAAACTTTCTAGACTTGTGCAACTCTGTCATACTTATTCTCAAACATTTTCTTAAATCGTTTCTAATGACCAAAACCTTACTAAAATCAAACTGTAATTTTAAAAGAAATGATACATCACAGTTATATACGTCTTAGTTGCACCCATTGTTTTTTCTCACTGGGGACATTAACTAGTGCTCAACCTTTCATCAAAGACTATTAGAAAATAAGACAGATGATACATATAATGTTTGCTCTAATTTCAGAAATCCAAGTTACTTCACTCAGCAGAAATAATTTTTAAATATTTACAGAGTAAAAATAATTTACTTTTTCAAAATGTAAAATAGTTGAATCATTCCAAAATTTTGCTGGACAAACTTAAAAAATCAGAAGTTTATTTTCCATTAATATGATCTCTCAAAAATTATTCTCTAAGACATACTATAGCTATGTTATTAAATGCAGTTAAATGGGGTCTACATACTCGATGAACACACAACAAAACTCACCTTGTCAGATGCCTCAGAAGCCAAGAGGTTAGTTGCAAGGGTTTGTAGTTTGTGATGGGCTATATTTTTAAGGGCAGCAAGACTACGTCTTGTCATAGCTTGTTTGAGGTTGACTGCTGGGTGACTAAGTGAATCTACTGCAGCAGGAACTGCTTCATCACAAGCATTCAGTATCTCTACTGCTGTTATCCCCATCACACAACGATCCAAAGCACCTGGGAGGCAAACACGTTCACATGTCACACAAGACTGTAAATTTTTTTTTTATTTTTTAAGAAAAATTTCTATGTAGAGATATGTAGTAGCAGTGAATTCTAGAAATATCTTCTTGCTTTTCTTTTCTTTAATAATCTTCCATGCAGATTACCTCAGTCTAACACAACTTCCCAACAAGGTCAAGTTCACAGCCAAGATTTTGACAACCTCCTTCAGGCTTTTTCCACTCTATTCCTATTTCCCAGGTTTCCGTGATTACTCCCACATCATTACACTATTATAAACATTAAATAAGATGACCTGAATGTCCCCCAAGTTGTACATCAATATTAAACAAAAATATCTTACTAAAATGCATACTTTTGCAAACCAGTTTGCAAATTTCCTTGTTTTGTCTTTTCTTTTTCTTTTTTGTTTGTTTGTTCATTTGATTCTTGTTTTTCAGTATTGGGGATCAAACCCAGACATGCATGCTTGGCAAGTGCTCTACCACTGAGCAATACTCCCAGCCCCCAGTCTAAAATTTTTTTTTAAATATTTTTTTAGTCGTTGATGAATCTTTGTTTTATTTATTTATATGTGGTGCTGAGAATCAAATCCAATGCCCTCACTCTGCCGCTGAGCTAAAACCCAGCCTCTGAAATTTTTTGATTCTTACTCTCACCACCCAAATGTTTCCCAAACATTTCTGAAAATAATTACTACTTATAACTACTTCAGAATCTTCATTTGGCCTTCCTTTCCACTTACCTCCATTTATGCAATTCTTATATAAGTTAGCACACAGACCTCTCCTTCCTAGATAATGCAGGGTTGTCACCTCTTTCACCAAAGCCCTCTGAACCTTCACATAATGTCACATTTCCAATCAGCTGTTCTCTGATTGTTTTAATTTCTCCCTTTTCTGCTTTATTTTTTCTATAACACTAATGCCAATTAACACACTGTTTATTTAAAATTTCTGATTTGCTTCTACCTACCCAGAACTGTAAACTCCACTAGAAGTAGAGAGTGTATATGTGTGAGAGCATGTGTGTTTATATGTACATGCATGTTTTACACATGAATCTGCAGAAACAATAAGAAAATGAAGTTCAGCTGTGTCAACATGGAATAAAAGCCACAATATATTGTTAATTAAAAAAAAACAAGGTTGAGAACAATTTTCATAATTTAAAGGGAGAGAAGGAATCCTATAGTTACAGTAAAAAGTGATTAACAGGGTATATTTACATAGCTGAATTACTAGGAATTTCAGGTTCTTCTATATGATCATTTGTAATATATTGATATTTTATTATGTTTTTAAATATCATGGGAAGAGTAAGATTACTTAAGTAAGTTAAAATTAGATTTTGAAAAAAAAATACTTATATTTTTTCAAACGTTTTAAAGTTTAACAGGAATGAATTTAGAATTTACTTTTCTAGCCCTTAGTTCTTTATTAAATGTTATCTGTAGTTATAATAGAAAAGACTTAAGTGACAGTTATTGTTATCCCAAACAGAATTATTAATCAACAAAATAAACATACACTATAAGCCAAGCGCCAAATATCTAATTTGCCTCTTTTTGTCAAGTTTATACTTACTACTTGATTTTGACAACTATTTCCAAAGTCATTAAGTGGGAACGAGCAAAGGTATGTGTCCATGGTAGGTGTGAGCCATGGTGGTGATGAAAGGGCCTGCAATGGCCTCAGAGCCAGGAGGTTCGAGGCTGAGAGTTTCAAAAGGGCAGCTTAACAAGAGGAAGGTGGAGGTAACAGCTTGGTGCAGGGGCTAAAGTCTCAGAAGCATTAGCATAAAGATATTGTTGGAGCCCTGGCAGAGAGAGAAGGGAGTTCACCCAGAGAGGCAGCCCAGCATAGAACCCATAGAGGGAGGGCGGATGAAGTCTAGGCATGAAGGCGATCTGGCACAGGGTGTTGACAGGTATGAGAAGAGCACCCACATGCTCTGCAGGAATGGTCTGAGGTGTGAGAGAGGTGAGGAGAGCATCTGTGTAAGCAGGTAGCTTTGCACAGATATGTGATCCCTAGAAGGAAGAGCAGATGTCCACACTGGGCATAAGACAGGCCAGGAATAGTATATCAGAACCAGGCAGAATGCAAAAGATGCCCGTGCAACACTATGTGTTTGTGCTGGACAGCAAAATGGTAATCAAAACCATCACCACCAACAACAAAAACCATGTCCAGCTTGAAGGGATTCCTAGGACATCATATTAAGAGTTTAAGATTATAATCCACTAAATAAAATGGGAATCCAAAAGTTCTTTATGACATAAATGACTAAATTAAAAATTTGAAAACAGATGTTTACATGGTTTCAAAGTACCTTGCCCCCCCCAAATAAAGAATAATTTTCCAGTGAAGAAGCCAAAAAACACCACCTAAATAAGATATAAGATATAAGTATATATCAGTGATGAAACAAATTAAAATCATTTATCATGTGACAGGATACAATGAGAAAAATATCTGTGATATTCTTGCCAAAGATATATATTCGGTCCAGGCATAATGGAGCACTCCTGTAATCCCAGCTGTTTGGGAGGCTGAGGCAGGAAGATTGCAAAATCAAAGCCAGCCTTAGCAACTTAGTGAGGCCTTACGCTACTTATAAGACCCTGGCTCAAAATAAAAACAAGGGCTGGGGATGTGACTCTGTAATACATACTCTGAAAATAAATCATGAGAAAACATCACTTGGGAAACACTTTACAAAACAACTGACCAATCAGATTCCAAAGTTTCAGTCGTTGAAGGAAAATAAAAACTAAGGAACTATTCCCAATTGAAAGAGTCATAGAACTAAATACCATGCACAATTCCAGTGTAGATGTTTTTGCAATAAAAGACTTTAGTGGAACAACTGGAGAAATTTGAATAGGGTCTAAAGATTAGATGGTAGCAATATATCAATGGTAATAAACTTCAAGGTGGAGGAAAATTTATATGACATGGCAAGATTCAAAACATTTGCACACAAAAAGGTAATCAACACAAGCCAAAAGGAAATACTGAAAAGACTCAAGAGAAAAAAAATTCAGTCCAAGGAAAATCTATTTAAAAACAATCAATTTAGAAGGAGAGTATATTCTGCTTGTATCTTTAATGATTTTTAAAATTCAAATAAGCAGAAAGGACTTCTGCTTCCAGTCAATATGGGGTAACAGGTACTAAATTCACCCTTCACATTCACATGTATGTGTGTGTATGTGTGCTTGTGTGTGTGTGTGCGCGCGTGTGTGTTTAAAAGACACAATATATGAAAACAACGATTTTCCAGACAATGGACATTGGGCACTTAAGGACAGTGATGCTTGAAAGATGGAAACAAACAAGGTTCAGTCTTCAATTACTCCAGCTCATCCCTCAAGATGAGTCTCTAGGACCACAGCACAAGAAGAGGGAAGCCAAGTAGAGACTAACAGATTCCATAAGTTGAAGAGCAAAGGCTAAGAGGCCAGGAGACCAAAGCTGCTAGAGTTTGCAGGACAGAATACCAGAGTGGAGTAACCCACATAGAAATCTGCAGAAGTTCCTCACATCTTTGCCAGAATACTGAGAAGTTCATGATTATGAGGAATCCACGAAAGCTCAAGAAAGAACCACGTGGAAGGACTGCGGGGTGCAGATGCTACTGTGAATAGTGCCTGTTCTCACCAGTTAGAAGGAAGTCTCCTAACTCACAGGGAAGAATTGATTGGGTAGAGTACTCTGTAAGGTATTGCCTCAACCACAGGTAATAATTAGCTCCAGAATTATCACTTCTCATCCCCACCTAACAAGTCTTAAAGGCAAGACCCAAGGGGGATCAACTATGTCCCTTAATAAATCTCAAAAAGATTTGTGGGAACACAAAAATATCCAACATCCAGGAAAATAAAATTCATAACATCTGCTGTCCAATAAAAAATTACTAAATGAAAACTACAACATAGGTCATGAAACTTACATTTAAATGTGAATAATGCAGATTAGTCATTGTGGAAGGAAAGAACAGTAAACTTGAAGACACAGTAATAGAAACTATAAAAAATTAAAAAAGAAAAAAAATTAAGATTATTAGTGAGCTGTGGGCCTAACATATATGTTATGTGGCCTAATATATATAATTGGAGTCTCCAAAGAAAGAAAAGAGAATGGAGGACAGAAAACATATTTGAATAAATTATAGCCATAAATTTTCCAAACCTGATAGAAACCCACACTCACAGATTCCCAAGCCCAAGCAAAATGAAGAAAATTACAATCAAAACAAGTAATAAAAGTGTTTTAGGGCTAGGGATCTAGCTTGATGTTAGACACTTGCCTGGCATGTGTGAGGCCGAGTTCAGTCCTCAGTACAAGGAAAAAAAAAGTTTTAAAGCAGCCCAAGAAAACAAACACGTTATATACAGAAGAAAGTTAAAGACTACAGCAGACTTCCCTCTGGATACAACGAAGTAAGAAGATAGTAAAGAATTGAAAGAAAGAAAAAACTGTGAACCTAGAACTTTAGACTCATAGAAAATATCTTTTAAAAATAAAGGTGAAGTTGGGCTTAGCTGCACATGCCTCTAGTCCCAGCTACTCGGGAGGCAGAAGTGGGAGGATCACTTAAGCTCATGAGTTGAAAATCAGCCTGGGCAAATAGACACAGCTAAAATAAAATTTAAAACACACAAAAAAAATTTAAAGGAGGTGAAATAAAGAATTTTTTTTGGACAAGGAAAAGCTGAAGGAATTCATTGCCTCAGACCTACAAGAAAAATTAAATATTAGAAAAAGAAAAGTGATTTCAGGTGGAAATCTGCACCTACACAAAGCAATGAAGAATAATAGAAATGATAACTATGCATAGGTAAATATATGATTTCATTCAAATTATTCCAATTTCCTTAAAATACAAGACTTTTCAAAAAACAGAAAGAAAAAAAATGTCCTGAGTAAGTGAAAATCATGAGAATTTTGATGATGCAAGTTAAAAGAAGTGATAGTGAGCGAGTCTATTATTCTTAACTACAGCAAATGGTCATGTAAAAGAATAATAAGAAGGATGGGGATATAGCTCAGTTGGTGGAGTGCTTGCTTTGCACGCACAGGCCCTGGGTTCAATCCCCAGCACCACCAAAAACAACAACAAAGAATAATAAGAAGTAAAGACAGAAAGGTAGGAAGATTTTGTTTTGAAGGTATTGTGAACTGACATTGTTCAGAGTTCATTCATTGAACAGTAGCATGAACCAAATGTTACTGCTGTCTTCTATCCTAGGATTAATTAACAAGCAGAGTACAGGATAGATTAGAAGGGAAAGAGCAGGCAGAGTAACCAATAAAGATAGCTTAGGTATGGGGAAATAAAACCCTAAATTAGAATAATACACCGGAAAAAAAGAGGAGCTGGGGGAAATCTAATGGGAAAGACTTAGTAATTAATAGCATGAGGGGTTGTGAGGAGGTAGTGGTAAAGTCAATCACATCTCTGCTCTGATACCTCTTCCTTCCAAGAGGGAAGCAATGGAAATGGTTAACTACATAAGTAAGTAAGATTTCATATTTTATAGTCATTCATCAAAAGGGATAAAAGATACTCTCTAATTATACTTGATTTTACCAAGTACCTTTTTAAATTCATTCTTTGTGTTTCCCCCTATTCTATTCCATGCTTGTAACACAATAAAAAGTAAAAATCTGGGGCTGGGGTTGTGGCTCAGAGGTAGAGCGCTTGCCTTGCATATGTGAGGCACTGGGATCAATCCTCAGCACCACATAAAAATAAATAAACAAAATAAAGGGTAAAAAAAAAAAAAAAAAAAAAAGTAAAAATGTGGGCTGGGGTTGTGGCTCAGTGGTAGAGCTCTTGTCTAGCATGTGTGAGGTACTGGGTTCCATTCTCAGCACCACATATAAATAAATGAATAAAATAAAGTCCATCAACATCTAAAAAAAATGTAAAAAAATGTAAAAGACATAGAGTCAATAATGTAGTGGCAATATATTATAAAACAGAAAGGTAAGGTCAAATCTCTAGTATGTCAGATACTGCTGGAAAAAGGTCAAATATGTGAAGAAAATATTTGCCACTAAAACCTCTCAACAGCAATTTTAGTAAAAGTTCAGAAACATAAATTTAAATAAATGAAAACAAAAGCCCAGGAATGTTTTTGAAATTAGTCTTAAGAATGACACTAGACTTTACTTGTATAAAAATCTGATCCTTGACATATTTTTGGTTATCCATAATTTATAGACATTTTCAGCAGACACCTGAATATACATTAACTCATAATTTTATGCTATGTTTGATTAGGTAATTCAGTTCAAAAAGATGAATATATTTAATTAAGTCAATGTAAAAATTGGAATTTTAAAAAACTCAGAGGGGCAGAAAATGAATAAAAAGAAAAAAGTAAATGACAAGAACTCATATGCTAATTTCTAATAATGTTCGGCAAGCATTAATGATATTTGCATTTGTACAAGGCGACCTAATTAAACCTATTAAAATAGGAATATGATGTGGGAATCACTTTTGCCAAGTAGCAAAGATGATAAAAATGAGCAAATGAGAATGTTATTTAGGCTTGATAATGATTACATAAGAACACTTTATGGCACCAGTTATGGCTTAAAGCATGCCACTGTGGGCCAAATAGGATTCTGACCTTGTCAAAGGCCTGTGGGAATGACAAGCACAGTTACTGGAATATCAAATGTGAAGAATGAGACAGTTGACCCCTGAAGCACATAAAGAGCTCCAGGTGGAAGCAGTCACCATCTACATCAGTGGCTAACCTTTAGTAAGTTCATGAATGGGAGTCAAAAGGTTCATCTGGCCCATTCTTGTTGCTAGTGTTTGACTGTTTAACCAGAATATCTTCATGGCCTGTTCATCACTATGAAGTGGCTAGTTCATCTAATAAAATGTCCTGATAAAAGAATAACAGATTCTGGACTTCAAATTCCCTAATTATATTTATATTACCTAGCTTTAATTTCATTACACAATAAACACTGAAGACAAAAATCTATCCATGTGAAAAGAAAAAAAAAAAACTAAAACAAATGACACATAAAAGTACAAAATAAAGAAAATTTAAGTGTTTTAACCTAGAAATCATCAGTAAAACTCAAAATACCAAACTATGCCCGATACGTATAAGCAGGTTTTATATGGCACAGCTTCATCTGTGAAAATACATTCCCAAAACACGAAGATCAAGTATCTCCTCAGAGTTTAAATACATTTCATACATCAAACCCTGGCTGCATCCGATTTATCTAGCTTCATTTTTTATTTATTTAATAAATAAATAAATTTAATTAATAAATAATGTCAATACCTTCAGGATGTACCTTACGGACTCCCCAGAGACCTATATATCACTAGCTACAGCACATACTGCTAAGAGAGAAAAATAACATATACCTCCTATTATAGCTGAAATCCAAAACAAATTTTGTTTCTCTATTTGTACCTTAATTAAGAATGTCAGTAACTGATTATTTACTCAGGTCCTCCTGAAGGTCAGAGCATAACTAAAATTTTAATATTACATATTGTGTTTAATCTAAATTGGGTTAAATTATACTAAATTCATTTCAAGCAGAACATCCTCCAATATCCCTATAGTTAGGGGCAATTTATTGTTTCCCTTTAAAAAAATCACTATGAAAGTTACCTTGTTTTTCAGTAAGATCTTATCTAGAAAGAATTTCATATTTTACTCTGTATTATTTACAAACATTTAAATATTAATCTTAATATTTAAGATTAAATATTCTTAAATATTCAAGCACCACACATTTAAAAATTTCAATCTTTCAAGACAATGATACTCTTTTCCTTTATTTATTTAAAAAGGCCTAGACAAGTTTATCATATCTTCTATTTTAAGACATACCAATTAATTTTACAGTATTTACAATATTTTAATATAGTTCTATTGTTCTAAGAACTTTCTTCAATACTTATTCTCAAAGAAAATATTTCCAAATGTAGGTAAAGTCATTCTGCCAAATTCCACGAGGTAATAAGTTAAGCAGCAAAATATTTCTTTAATAATTATAGGAAATACATACACATGTCTGCATATACACACAAACTAAAAAGTATACACACACATACATTATACATACATTCTATTTATCACATCAGGGAACTATCTCATTCTACTCCTACAACACTATAAAATACTGTTGTAAAATAGGAAATACTATCCTAATTTGACAGATGAAAACACCAAAGGGCAAAAGTCTGATGAGCTAAGATAAATCACAGTGCTTCCAAGTTATTGTCGATCCTAAGTTCAAACCAAACAATCTGATTCCAGCCACAAATGGTATCTTTAGTGTGTGAAGTGGATCAAACCAACAAGCAAGACCATGATAAGCAGGTAGACTGTAACATTAAGGAACACAAAAGTAAAATACAAAATTGCATATATAGGATGGCAGTAATTCTGTTTTTAAAAATGTCCGGGAACAAATAAGAAAGAAATATGCCAAAATGTTAATATTTACAACTGGGTAATGAGCTCTGGTTTTACCTTTCTTCTCTTCTAATGTTTGTGCTTTTAAAATTTGACCAAAAGTATTAATTTCTTTTACAACCAGACAAGAGAAAAAAAAAAAGGTAAATGCAAAAGTAAAGAAATCTGACAGACTTCCAGAAGGTTCCTCTTGTCAAAATTGCCTGTGTTACAGTTAAACTGAGGATGATCAATAAGGCTACTGAAGATGATAGCTACTTATCCCAAAAAGGCTTATGGGAACTCCCATCTGATAACTGTGCAAGCAGCTGTATATAGTCTGATTTAAAAAAGACTAAAACAAACAACAAAAGGTGAAGAAAAAGAAAATATTTGGTAGAAATATTATGTAGTTCAAGTAGGAGTCTAAAGATAAGTGATTATCTATCAGTGATTAAAAACCTAACAATGTAAAAGATGAATCCAATGTTATCACAAAAAAGCCAGATTAATGCAAAACATTGTTGCATGCTTAAGTATTTCCCAGGGAAACTCATGGTAGTGTGTGTATGAACACTGTATATCTTTACCTGTGCTTTTAAGTTAAGCATTACTTGTCCACATTATAAACTCCATACATCACATTTTTGAAACTTGAAATTTTACATGCCCCACTAGAACTTGAAACCTTGATGTAGATTACTTCCTACGATTTTCTGCCCAGCACTGCCTTTCTGCTATTCAATAAAAGATGATTTTATTTTTTTCTGCTGTTTCTGACCTGAGACAAACATGGTTCCTTCATCCCACTCACAATTTATCTCATGAATTATACAGAAATCACGTATACTTTGTCATCTGTAAATCTGTCCTCATCTGTACGTTACTTTCAATTATATGCTTTTAAAGACTGGTGAACTGATCCACAAGTATTTGGCATAGTACAACAAATAAGAGGACACTGAAATATTTCTTTATTGATAACAACGAGAATATTTAGGAAAAACAGTGATGAGGAAAAAAATAGCAATTTTTATACATTGCAAAACTTAATTTTTAGGAAACCAAATATACCCATTAATTTTCTAGTTTCTTTTCAAGCTAATTCTTACCAGTATCCATTTGCCAGACATACACAGAGCCATCTGAACAACCCACGACCAGGTAATCATCAGAGGGTCTCCACTTGATTATCTGAATAGGGAAAAGGTGCCGAGATGCCAACATGATGCATTTTTTCTCTCGCAAACTTAGAAGTCCTACTGAGTGGTCACTGGCTACAGAGCAGATACAGTGCTGCACTCTTGCCTGAAAAGAAGAATGCACCTTCATTACATTTAGATTAAATTTAGAGTAAAACAGATTCTGTTCTCAAATAACTGAAATGAAAGTTATTCATACATTCACTACCACCAAAAATCAACTACAACTAAATGTTGAACAATTTATTCCTTTATATTATACATAAAACACTCAGTTCAACCATCAAAACACTTTTACTAAACAGGAAAGGAAGCCTTGGAAAAATCTGCTGTTCAAATTTGCAGATGCCCGCTCACTGAAATGCTATATCTAAGCAGGCAAAGGTGGAAAAAAATTGATCTGTTCTTCTGTGTTCCCTTTCCACAGTATGAACTTTCCTTTGTTTGCCATGAGAGCTGCTTTCTGCAGTCCTTCCTTCTGTTTGTGACTCTGTCATTTTAAACCCCTGCTCCTCCCTGCTCAGAAACAATACCCTCACAGTCCCCCTGCCAGTCATCCTTGGGAGTCAAGAATATTTCATGTTATCTATAGATTCATATCCCTACTTCCTTCCCAGCTTCTGTCTATGATGCCGGCAGGTGCATTACCTCAGCTAACCACACAATAAGCCAATTAAACATTTTCTGCTCATATCTAGTTTTTGCCTTTCAATTCCCTTTTAGAACAAGATGAGATGTAAATAATCAAGGACTGTAAGGATTTTCACCAGTAACAAAGAACTCAATCTACAACAGAGAAAACTTAAAAACTGAAGTTTTTAAATTTCTATAATACAATTCCTAAGCAATTTAAAACTTAACTCTTTGCTGACATAGATGATGATCTCAGGTCATACTGAGGGAAAGCATATGAAAACAACCATCTGAATTACTCCACGTATTGGGACTATTTCTAGAGGATGAGGTCCCCTGCAGTTCGTACATATACTCTCCTTTCAATGAGATCTAACGGAAGGGACTTGTCAAACCTCAGCCTGCTGGACTTCTGAGCAAACAGACTGTTTTAGCCAGAGATCAATATCTCACTGATTCCCCAAGTGGGAATGTTGAAAGATATTAGGTGAAAAGATGGGGGAGGTGGCTGAATGTGCATGAAAAACACTGAACCTATGCAGTTGTTGATGTTTTTAACCATAGAATTTCCAGGATGATTTAGCATGCTGATGTGAATATAATTATTCCTATAAGGAAATAAAATATAATTCACCTCTAAATTTGCTTGACCATGTTATCTATGACACCTAGTTTTTAAAGGTCACATTTTAGGGAAAGCTGGTGCAACTGGTTCCTTTTATATCGTGGCTGCTAACAAACTTAAGACTAAATTTTCCTATACCAGTGCAGGATCCTGGGACATACATATTTGAACATGGACTCTCAGTGGTCTCATTCACTTCTCTCATTTTCTCTTCACCATGATTTAGCTTTATCTTTATTTTACTTAATTTTTTATATATATTTTTAGTTACAAACGGACACAATACCTTTATTTTATTTATTTTTTTTTATTTTTATGCAGTGCTGAGGATTGAACCATGCTAGGCAAGCACTCTACCACTGAGCCACAATCCCAGTCCCTTAATGTTTATTTTTATAAACAACTTAAAATCAATTTTGAATAACACAAGGCATTAATAAAACAAAGATATGAGATTAAACTATCTAATTTGTTCTCAAATTCAAATGTTTTATCTTTTTATTCTTTGTTAGCTTTTTTATGTTTTATGATCATTTAGACACAAAAGTGAGCACAGCAGTTGGTTTACTAATTTAAAAGTTAAGAAAACTATGTTCAAGCCTGGCTCAGTGGCGCACACCTGTATCCTAGCTACTCAGGAGGCTAAGGTAAGAGGATCTCAAGTTAAAGGCCAAACTGAACAATTTAGGGAAAACCTGTCTCAAAATAAAAATGGCTGCAGATGGAGCTCAGTGGTAGGGTGCCCCTGGGTTCAATCCCCAGTTCTGCAAAAAAAAAAAAAAAGCCGAGTAGTGGGGGACTAGGATTGTGGCTCAGCGGTAGAGTGCTTGCCTAGCATGGGCAGGGCCCGGGATCTATCCTCAGCACCACATAAAAATAAAGGTATTGTGTTGTGTCCATCTACACCTAAAAAATAAAAATTTTTTAAAAAAGAAAGAAAGAAAACTAACTTTAGAAAGATATTACAAACCTCTATTAAAACATTATAATTTTCTTAAACATTTGTTAAGCTATTTCATTTATCTTGATACACACTCAATTGAAATATAAAATATGATTTCTTTCTTTAAAAGGATGTACAAAGAACTGTGGGGCAGATGAATTCTGGCACCCAAATATTACTTTTTTAATTAGCAGAAAGATGTAAAAAAGTGGAAAAGTATTTAACATCATTTAAATTAAAGCAATACAGAATACAACTGAGTAAATATATATACAAATGCACAAGAACACACATTTGTATCCTATGATATCTTTATTCTCAATTATTTCATAACATAAAGTATTAGCTACACAAAACATGCATTGCTAACTTTAGATATTTAATACAATGGATGCTTTGATTTTCTACAGATTGTCACTAGTGCTGTCTTTGTATTTATCAAATATTATCTATTATTCACTTTATAAAAAGGGAAGACTGAAGCCTTAATGGTTAACTACTGTTTTCTATTTTGCATCACTAAAAAGAGGTCATTTCATTCATATCTTTCATGAGAGAAACAGTGATCTTTTTCTCTTATATGATTTTTTTCCCCCATTACTAGGAATTGAACCAGGGGTACTCTACCACTGAGCTACATCCCCAGCACTTTTCATGTTTTATTTATTTTACTTTGAGATAGGGTCTAACCAAGTTGATAAGACTGGCCTCCAACTTTCAATCCCACTGCCTCAGTATCAGGAGTAGCCAAGGTTACAGTCATGTGCCACCACTGTGTCCAGGGGTCTCTGGGTATAAAAAACTCCAAAAAAAAAAAAAAAAAAAAGGATTCCTAAACAGCATTTTCTTCAAACTACTCATATCCTTTCACCAGGCACTGGTCCACTACAACACTCAAACATGCTTCACTATTTTTGATTCTACTACTTCGACTCATAAGCTCTCCAAACTCCTCTTTAAAAAGAGCTAATCCTTAAATAGCACCTCACTCCCAACTGGCCTACTTGCTAGTCCCCAAGTCCAAATTCATTTCATTAATGTTCATATGCATGCAATTCATTCATTTTTCAAAAAGTAGAGAAAAGAAGCACAAGTCAATATGAAGTTTTGCAAATATTCTTCATCATGTTAGGTGTTTCTAAAATTACAATCTGTTGTAGCTCTCAAGAACTGAAGCTACTGACAACCACAGAGCTGTGCACACATCTCCTTATCATAGTTTATATTCTAGTGGACAGAGGACAAGAGCCATTAAACAAACAAGAAAGGCTTTTTTCCATTCCTATGAGGAACCTGAACTTTAACATGATCAACCCGTCCTGAGAAGTTCTGTTGTCAGAACTTTCACCTTTCCCTTTATAGGCACGGAATCATTTCAAAGATTAGAGGAAATGCAATCCATCTTCATAAGAATATTTAAAAGATCTTTGTCATATTACTCTTTATTGTAAAAATTAAAAATACATACAACAAACATAAAATAATAGCATAGGATCAGCTTTAAAAAAATAGATTACAGGGTATAATTTCCTGAAGGTTTAAAAAAAAGAGAGATATAATTCCAAAAACTCTAGCTTTTCATTTCCACAAGATGCACTCTCTTTACATATATATTTACCTAAATACATTTTAAATAATGGTTTTATTCCTTTTCAGAGTGCAATAATGATGAAACTCACAAGTAACATGCTCTGCCCACAAAAAAAAGTTAGATAACGTATGTATGTATGTATGTACATATGTATGTATTTACTGACAGGGTCTTGATAAGTTACTGAGGCTGGTCTTGAACTTGCAATCCTCCTACCTACCTCGGTCTCCCAAGTCGTTGGAATTACAGGCATGCACCACCATGCATGGCTTGTTTGGTCACTTATAAAAATCACATACTATTCTGTAAATAATAATATGTATCTGAAGAGTTAACTTTAGCTTTACTGTAATAAGAACATATTGAAATAGCCAAAATAATCAAGAATGAAAACAAAAAAAAAATCAATATTACTAAGCCCAAGAAAGCATAGTTATTAGAGGTACTTAACTCACAAGAAAAGATGGTTCTCTGCTTTTTAAATATGGATTAAAATAAGTCTAATTTTTCTTCTTTCAACAAAGTGCTACTCCAACTCATATAAAGAGAACTGGCCTAAAGTGGAAATGAACCAGTGCAGTAAAACCTCATTAATTTTGATTCCACTAATTAATTCTGAGTTGATAGTTACCTTTGCAGCTTGTGTGAAAACAAATTAATGGTATAAGCAAAACAAATGTCTAGCCTATTTAAACGTAAAAGGAAAAAAGACAATTCAAGCACACTTTGGTATTAATTTTAATTCAAACAATAAATAGAGTAATGATAAATAAATCTCAGCCATCTGTTAAATGGAAGCACTTAAAAGATTAGCTAAAACACAATTAACCTGGTATTCTCTTATCTGTCCTCAAAATTATTTAAGAAGCACTTCTTAAAGTATATTTTATAATTCATATTTCTTACTGATTTAGATCAAGTTTCTCCACAAATGGGTTGAATTAGCACAATTCCCTTATTAATAAATTCTAGAGATCTGAGTTAGTGAACATCTAATTCATCTACAATGACTAATTCCACAATTTGATTAATTCCATTACTTTTCACTTTTTTCTACTCCAACCTGAAAAAGTCACCTAAAGATGATTTAAACACCAAGGTCATTATAACAAGATAATGTGTAAAACACTTAATTGGTGTAATTAAAATGGTAATACAACAACTAAAAAAAATGTGACCCTCACATCTTCAAATGAACTTACTTGAAATGCATTTTTGCTCCAAATTTTCTTGATCACTCATTTACTCATTTAAGAGATTTTAAAATGTATTCCATGTGTTTATACTTCTGTATAGGTACTTAACTGCTTATGT